GGTGTTCGGGGCAAAGGGTATGCTTAACTAAATATTAACAGTCAGCCTAATCATTACATCAATTCTGATTTTGCAAGGTAGCCTCAGACAATCTGCATATTGTCCTGGGACAAGCTGCATCCCATCAGATGATTGTTCCTGCTGATCCCTGCTTAGGAGAGAGGATTCAATGTGTGGTGTCTGTGTGAGAAACCATTTTTTTAGAATCCAAAGTAAAATCAGATTTGGAACAATGAGTGGAGAATTTCAAGTGCTTCTAGGGTTCCAGAACACAGCATTTTAAGAGCCCGAAGCAAAAATGCTCTAGTTACTCTTAACTTTGTGCTTTCCACCTTGAGAATGAGATAGATTCTAGCACCAGTTTTTAGAGACTTAGGGCTGATTAATATGATTCTGTACAGCAGCAGTCAGGAGTCTAATCCAAAGTAATGGGAATACATACAAAATGAAATTGTCATAGTGTTATATTGGTTTTAGTTTGTAGGCGTACTTGAGGACTCAAGCTTTTTGGCAAAAGCAGTTTCTAAGTGAGTCTTAAGGAATTATGATGCATTAACATCCCTACACAAATAACAAATGACATTTATGCTGTAAGAGCCAAAATTAATCTGGAAGACCAACTGCCTACCTGCCCATGGACAAAGTGACTTCCTGGACTGCTGGGAATTGTAGTTCTTGGGAAATAACATGTTTTCATTCTCCTAAACAAGTTTGTTTGACCTATCTGCAACGTATGTGCTTGATCACATGTGGTCGGGAGGTATGTAGGCAGGAAATATGTCAGGATATATGCTTGCCCCTGATTGGACCGAATGGGAAATGCAACTAATTATGCTTTTTTTTTTCTTTTTCTTTTAAGCCTCTGCAAAAGATGACTGGTGGCCATGTCCTGGGAGCCCACAGATGGGCCTTGCTAGAGTCCTCTTTATCTGGCCAGTATTTAATTAAAGCTTGCTTCAAGTTTGACTCAAAATTGTGAAATTGGTTTTTCTCACTCAAATCTCGGGATTAACAATGAGAATTCAGAACAAAACACAGATGGAGATTGACTCAGCTGTCAAGAGCACTTACTGCTCCTTCAGATGCCTATAACTCCAGTTCCAGTGTGTTAAACACCTTCTCACATTTGCACACGTGGTGCCCGTGGAGACAAGCAGGCATACACACACATTATATAAAAAGATTGTTTTAAGTCATTACTAGGACAACCATTACTAACAGAAAGAGGGCAAGCGAGTGAATTACACAGAAAGACAGAGGAAGAGACCCAAGTCCTGAGAACATGCCTGTTAACTGCCTGTAGCTCTTATCTTCTACTGTGGCTTCTTGCCAAATTGATAAACCAAGAAAAAATTTTAAAAAAAAATCAGACACAACTAAAAGACAGAAAGAAATATAAATTCTCTTTAACATTGTTCTTGAAAAATCTACTAGAGAATTTTAAACAAATTTCACAAAGTATATCATAATACTTACTACAAATTGCAGTAATTAGTAAAGTGAGAGATTTGTGTAAAGGAAAAGCAGTGAAAGAGACTGTAAACACAGAACTACCACAGTCAATTTCTTTTTAAGAAAGGTATTAAGACCAGCCAATACATAAAACTGCTGGAGTAAGTATATATCTGCACAGAGCACTGGATCCACAGTGGGTCTTGATGTAGACCACAGTCATGTGCCTAAGTGAAAGAAACTTAAGCGTGATGTAGACCTAAAGGTAAAAGTTAAAACTGTAAATGTTTCAAAGGAAACCTGAGCAGAACATGTTTTAGGGTTTGTGGTCATGAAAGAAATAAATTAACAGCACAATACAGAAAATCTAAGCCAAAGAAACCGTGCAGAATTAACGTTCTTCAAAGGTTTCAGTTTAATGGTATAAAGCTCTTCAGATTATGATTCTAGTCTTCCATATCACAGCATTAAATGAATCATGTGTAGCATTCCTCTCCTCAAGCATGGTAACAGATTACCACAATCTAGATTAATTCAGGTTATTACTACCGTCCTGTGATGGTGCAGCTAAAGTCCAGTAACACTTAAGACATAAGACATGGACATTTATAGCTATGAAGTTTAAAACTTGTATTAAAAAATGTTCTTGTGCTGTACTTATGCATTTCCAGAAAAAGAGCACACCAAGTACGCACTGCCAACACCCTGGGTCCATGAAGACCAAACAAATCTTTAGACATTAAAACGTCAGCAACAGCTAGGCTCGGTATGCACACCTGCAATCTCAGCACTCTGGAGGCAGAAGCAGGGGGATTTCCGTGAGTTCCAGTCCAGCCTGGTTTACACGGTGAGTTATAGGTCATCCAAGGCTATGCAGAGTGACCTTGTATTCCCTGTTCTAAAAAAGCAACAGAACAGACTGTCAAAACTAGCCAAAGCTTTTGTAACTTTCAAAAAGGAGATGGGACTAAGATACTCCTGTTTCTTTAAAAGAATCCACAGTTAAGCAATAACAAGAACATCATGCTTGATTCTGCTCTTATATGTGTTCTATCAAATGTTTTGTGCTCTTTTCTTCTTTCCTCACCCTTGGAGGTGTTAATTTGAAGAAAGTGACTTTTTCCCTTTCAGAAAAAAATCAGTGTCTCCTTAACTAGCTTGCCCTTTCCTAAGAACCGAACTTTAGGGATGGTAGAGAGGAAAACCTCTGTTTGTGAATGGACCAACCCTGGGAGGCCTGCAGCTCACACAAGGTTTCTTTAACTAGAGTCACTCCTAAGGTGCTGGATATTAGAGGGTGCCAGGAGCTTAGAGGATTCGAGGAAGAAGCTAACAGGTTTCCAGTCTTAATGTTCACACTTTGTAGACAAAAACCAAAAATTCTAGTTTTTACCTTTACTATGTGTGGCAACACTTAAAAACACTTAATTAGATTTATTAAGTGTGGGGGGAGTGGGGGGGGTGTTCTGTGTATTGCCCTTGTGTCCCAGGGCTCGTGTGGGAGTCTGAGGACAACTTGCTTGAACAGGTTCACTTCTTCCACAATGTAGGTCTTGTGATCAACCCCAAATTGTCAGGCTTGGGGACTCAGACTATGTTAACTTCTAATTGACAAAGTAGGATAAGCACATGTTGAAAATCTGTTCTTTTAGATTATACCTCCTGGAGAGAGGCTGAGTGATTAAGAGCCCTTCCTTATCCCTCTTGCAGAGGACTGGGATTCAGTTTCCATCACCCAAATGACAGCAAACAACTGTCTGTAACTCCCTGGAAACTCTTAACCTCCACGGGCACTTCATGCACAGTGTACATACATATACTCAAACACACACACACACACACACACACACACACACACACACACACACACATACACACACACACTTAAATACATAAATATTTAAATACTAAAAATCAAATTCAATCCCCCACCTTTGGATGTCTATTCACTTTGTCTCTCTCCAGAAACCACCACTGCCATCAGCCTTTTGAGTCTCCTCCTGAATAATTTTCTTACTTATAAGCAAATGAAAATGTGTTGCCTGAAATTCACAGCTGTAGAAATTTTCAGAAATGAATTCATAGCTTATAACACAATTCAAACAATACGTTTATGAGATAGGGGCTTGCCTCTTGTGGAATCCATCTAGGACAACTCTGCTTATTTCAGCTCCTGTGAAGATGCGAGGTGCAGCGCGTGTAACAGGCGCTAACATCCTGCTGTTCAACGAGAAAGGCAGGCAGCCGGGGAACTGATCCTTAAATAATTCCCCACTGGCTTTTGGTCTGCACTTTTCTTCTGAGAAGCCACTTGAACATTGGCTCAAGGATCTCCTGGAGAGACACAGGACAGGCCTAAGCTCCTTGGACATCATCGTTCCATATCCTAACTAATACTGGGAGGCGGGACACCAGGCATGACCTCGGGCAGAGCCACTGTAAAAAATGCTACTCTCCTTTAACCCCTCCAAGTAAATCAGCGGAAGGCTTCCCTTCCCCGATTTAAATACATTTGCTCTTTGACCTCTAGAGTCACTCTCTCAGATGGCTGTAGTGTGAGCTTGTTTGATGCACGTCAACTATCATAAAACAAAGAGTACTTCATGACAAATCTTCAAATAACACGAGTGTGTCCACAGTCAGGGTAACCGTGTCTCGATCCCAGGCATGTCAGCAGTGTGCAATGCTGCTGACAACGAGGTGATGCTTCCCTATGCCAAGATTTGGTGTCTGCTGCAGCTGTGACTGGTGATACGGTGCACTGCCCTGCACCGCTTACCAATGTGTTTATTGTCGGAACTTCAAAAGGCTGCCAGCAGATGCAAAATGCTTTAAAGATTTCTCCTGTGCATGTAGCAATCTTTCTGGGTCTACAATATTTCTGTATTTAACAGCACAATGAAGACAAATAGTTCGTAATCTAGATGGTTGTTTAACAATATATCTGCAATCGTTCAAGTCCGAAGATCTGAGAATCTCTAGAAGAACTGAGAAGTTCTATACTCAGTTTTCTAGAGAAAACAAAATAAAACTCTAACAATATATTGAACAAGTTTAAAGAAAACAGGAACTCTCTGATTAAAGTTATCAAAAATATTTTCTTAATTTCTGTAAATGCTAAACATTTTTCAAGTGATCTTCACATGCACACAGACACACACACACACACACACACACACACACACACACACACACACACACACACCTCTATGTCTAAATTGAAGTGGATTTCAACATCTCTTGTTTTGTAATGTTTAATGAACTGTAATACAGTGAGATATTGTAGCAAATATAGTATTAAAATGTTTTGGTACTTAATAGTTCAAAAATTATTTTATTTAATTGAGACCAACTGGCTTCATTGCATCTTATAAACTTTGCAATATATATTCAGAATAAAAGGAATAAAAATGAACAGATGTTTCTCCTTAAAGAAGGCAGACTAAGATTTTTCTTACACAATAAATCAGCTCCTGGTACATTTCTAGGACATTGCTTGAGGCTGTTTTAGTATAAAATTTTTAGCACAAACACACACTCACTCTTACCTCTGTATGAATCCAAAATTGGTACAGGAGATTGAATTGGATATGAACAGCAAACACTGGAGGTGGGATGAAGAGAGCCAAGGGAGAGTAGAAAATCTTTAAGAGAAAAAAGTCTGCATCACTTTACAATCATGAGTTCTCAACAGAAGCCTTACTAATGGTCCTTCTTCAGCAAACATAATCTTCCATATATTTTATGATCATTTTACTTTGCAATATTAATATTTCACATAGTGATAGGGTTGCAAACACTAATCTTCTATTTGGAATTTAATATTTTGTAATTAAAGTGTTTTGTAATTAAAATATCACACTCTGTGTGTTATTTCCTTACCATGGAAAGATTAGATGTGTTTCCTGGAAGTAAAATGGTGGCTGAGAATGCACAAATACTTACTTTATTGAAGCCTTTGTACCTTGACCACTCCCAAATGCTCAATTACTGTCTGGGATTTTCAATAATAAAATGCAATCATAATAAAAGAAAATATGTGACATAATGAAAGAGTAGAATGTGGTTTCCATTTTAATGTTTACATGATTGACTAAAGGTAAAATATCTCTTCAATTTTTATCAACGTTGTTAAGGTAGGAAGTGTAATGTGAGGAGAGTAGAAGCGAGTCTTAAGGGTCCAGATTTCCTAAGAGATGGAAATGTCCGTGCCTTCAAAAACCAACTTTTTCTTAAGCCACAAAATTGCTTGACTAGTAAGCATGATTTGCTGTGGCATCCTAACAGCTTATTCCTGGGAGCAGTTACATAGTCCAAATAGTTTCTTTGAAAGAAAACCAAAGAACAAAAAGGTATCAGAAGAATCTTACTTCTCCCTTACATTTCTGATTTTATAGAACCATACTTCTAAAATGCTGCATATTTTCAAAACATTTCTTCTGAATGCTACAATTTAATTGCCGAATTATTATGAAGCTTTTGTTCTCAGTCACGTAGCCATATGAAGGATATTTAGTAATGGGTTTGAGTTGGAAATTAGACATTTATATAAATTTTTATTTGTGTTTCTAAATTTAAGTCACATAAAATATAAGATTTTATTACTTGCAAACAGGATTGGTTTTATTATTTTCAATAGATAAAGAAGCAATGGGGCAAATTAGTAGGCCATAAAAGAATATAGATTTCTTATTCAAGAGTTCAACTTCTCAATCATGATCTCACTATGGACTTTGTAAAGTTAAAAAAAAAAGTTTTAGCCCTCTGGCTTCCTCAAATTAATAGTAAAGAACAAAAGTCAGAAATCTAGCTATCCAGTTAGTTCCAAAAATTCTATAGTATGTACAATATAGAGTAGTGCATGATATAAATAAAGCATTACTAAAAAGAATAGGAAATAAATATTTTGAATGTTCAATAAATAACATTTTTGTAAAGAAAGCATCTGACAGATGAGTACTTAGAGTACATTATATTTACCCAAGTTTAGAGAAATAATCTCTTCTGATAACGACAGCTGGTATGAAAAAGGTGGTTTGATAGCTACATGAAACATATGATTGCTCCGTAAAAGGGTCTTTCAGATCCTTTTTCCTTGATCTTGTGAACCAAAGCCGTTAATCTTTAGAATAGTTTTTTTTTTTTTATTTGATGAGTTTTCCACAGGATCAGATCGCCTTTAAAAAGTGCCAGAAATCTTCTCTACTGATAAATACAGTGATAGACTGATCCTTACAAACTGGAGGCCATCATGAGTTTTAACTCAGTTTGTGTTCTGTTTTTCCCTTGAGGACTGATCTGAGGGCCTGGCACATGCTAAGTAAACACCCTGGACTTTGTTAGATGTGGCAGCCTTGTTGTTCTAAGATAGCTTTTACCATGTAGCTCGGGCTGGTCTAGAACTAGAAATCTGACCACCTTTGCCTCCAAGTGCTGAGCTTTCAGCTGTACATCACGTCACCTTGCAAAAACTCATTTTTCTAAGAATTAAGGCAAAAGTTGGGGAATAACTTACATTAATAAATTTAATGATAATTCTTTGTGAGTAACACAATATTATAAAGGAAACTAATTTTACAAAAAGAGAGAAAGAAAAAGGGAAAAGGTCCTAGTCCTCTTTTTTTTTTTATGGTTTTTCATGACAGGGTTTCTCTGTGTAGCTTTGTGCCTTTCCTGGAACTCGCTTTGTAGCCCAGGCTGGCCTCAAACTCACAGAGGTCTGCCTGGCTCTGCCTCCCAAGTGCTGGGATTAAAGGCGTGCGCCACCACCGCCCAGCAGTCCTAGTCCTCTTGATTGGAAACAAAGTAGTAAATGTGATTTAAGTGTGAGGATACTTCACTTCCTCCTTCCCATCCTCTTCCTTCTTTTATCTCTCCTGGTTTGGTTTGTTGTTGTTTTGCATTTACATTTTGCATTTGCATATACATTTACATTTGCTTTTGCTGCATGCCAGAAGAAGAAATCCTAGGCCTTGGAGTTAATGGAGTTACCTCTCCAGCTCAATGAGAGTCAATCTCCAATCTTGGTATCTCGTTGTCTACATCCTTTACTAATAATTCAACTCCTTCTTCTACCATAGATCCCTAAATGTACTTAATCACTTGACTGAAAAATAAATCTTCCTCATACTCGGTTAGTACCCGGGACAGGGACATTGAGCCTGTTTCCTAAATGTGTCGGTTTCTGGCTAGCCCTCACACCAATGTCATTCTGACTCCAAGGTTCTTTAGGTTTAAATAACACTATCTACGTTAGGTTGGTTATTCTACGGTATAATCAGTATTCAGTAGAATTAGTATAGAACTCTATGTGTGAGAAAGTAATGAGGGTAAGCAAAGCACAGCCCCAGTCCAGCAGAGACAAAGTGAGGTAATGTGCCCGCTGCAGGCCGGTAGCAGAACGGTGGTGGGGAGTCGTCATCTTGAAGCAATAAACAACGGCATATGGGAGGATTATAAGTATTGTGACATTGTTGTACTTTGTAGAAGTAGTGTTGTAAAAGCCTAGACTGTGGGAGGCTTGGACAGACCTCAGGGAGACCAGGAAGCAGACTACAAATATAACCAGGAATGATGTGGGAGGAGTGTGCATTTCCCAAAGAGGTAATGGATCGCTTCCATTTATCAGTCTCTAATGTGTCTGTGACTTGGTACAGGAAAAAAAATAGAAAGAATGGATAAAGAAAAAGGTTGGGCCGGGCGGTGGTGGTGCATGCCTTTAATCCCAGCACTCGGGAGGCAGAGCCAGGCAGACCTCTGTGAGTTTGAGGCCAGCCTGGGCTACCAAGTGAGTTCCAGGAAAGGCGCAAAGCTACACAGAGAAACCCTGTCTCGAAAAACAAAAAAGGTTGAGTGGCTACATGAGGGATGGGAGCATTTTAATGCCATTCTAGGGAAGCTGGGCAGAGAGTAAGATGGGATATGCACTTTTAAATATGTCCAAGGGAGGAAATGAGGGGAGTGGTCAGCCTGAGGATTAAACTAAAGAGAGATGAATAGTCTCTTTACTTATTTATTTAGGTTTTTCAAGACAGGGTTTCTCTGTGTAGCTTTGCTCCTTTCCTGGACCTCGCTTATGTAGACCAGGCTGGCCTCGAACTCACAGAGATCCGCCTGGCTCTGCCTCCCGAGTGCTGGGATTAAAGGTGTGCGCCACCAACGCCCAGCTTTGAATAGTCTCTTTAAAAGTAGAGTACAAGACATGTCCACCTGTGAGTTCATGTCTTAGCTGAAGACATGTGAAAGGGAATAGAAAGAGAAATGGCTAAAGTTCACATTTCTCTGTAGTCTTTAAAGCTCATGAGGTGTCAGTGAAGAGAGTTTGAATGAATTGAAATTCCAGAAAGGTTTCACCAGGCAGAGATGAGACTCCGGCAAAGTTTCATGCTCATTTTAGGGCTCACTGAGCATGTGCAGGGCTTTTCTGTATCTGGAAGCCCTGGCCAGAGCAGGAAGCTCTGCCACAGCAGAGCCAGCTGCAGGACTCCCAGCATGCAATGCCTGGTGGTGGGTGTGCAGAATATGGATGGAGGAATCATTTTTACATGCCCCAAAGATTTCAAAGGGGACCAAAATGGTGCCCACAGGCAGATTTGCCAGCCATGGGAATAAAGCTCCTGAGATTGCCCTGGATAGAAAGTGGGCCTAGGCAGAGCTGGGAAGAAAGCCAGAGCTTGGAGGACAGTTGCCTGCTAGTAAACTGCTAAGCCACATGGTTAACCTTTAAGTTACAATTGCTTTATCATTTGTTACTGTTATTATGTTGTATGCTGTGGTGGTTTTCCTTCATGTGTCTGTGAACCGTGTATGTGCAGTGCCCATGAAGCCAAAAAAGGGCCTTGGATCTTCTAGAACTAGAGTTAAAGGTGGTTGTGAGCTGGAATATAGGCGCTAGAATAAACTCTAGTTTACTCAAAGAACAATCAAGCAAAAGTTTATTCTCATTATATTTAACCAAAGGAGAGACTACTAACATAGTATCACTGCTGATGATAAATCTGAAATGGTTCTTTTTCCATACTCATCTAATACCCAAAGGAGATGGGTAGCTGATTAAATTCTGTTTCAGATGGGCCCAGTATTTTGCTTATTTAGAATTCTTAAATGGGCATGCTTAATGTGGTGAATCATATGACACAAAGACTCTTCCTCAAGAATGGTGCCTAAAGAAACCTTAGCAAGAGTATGCCATCTCTAAAGCAGAGGGCAAGCTCTAAGCCATCACTAACTCTGCTGAATCCTTGTGACTGGACTGATCATTTATTTATATATTAAACCAGCTGCCTGAATCAATATGCACTACTTTAAAGACCTTTATTTCCTACTTTGGATCGGAGCTCTATACACATCTATATATGTCGCATATGTACTGTATACTATAAATTTTGTTGTAAAATTGTCCCAATGTTTTACCTTTCAGAATTCTTCCTGGTTTGTTCCTCTCTCTTTATAAACCAAGTCTTTTTAGTTTTTTTTTTTTAATTCATTTATTTGTTTTTATTGAAACAGAATCTTGCTGTGTATCCCTGACTGGCCTCGTATTTGCTATAGAGCCCAAGCTGGCCTTGAAATCATGGCAATAATCCTGCCTCATTTTCCCTAGCCCTGTAGCTGTAGGTTTGTATGCTACACCTGGCTTTTCTTTTACTTTTTGAGCACATGTACAATTATACATTAAGTAGAAATTCAATGTAGCTTCTACATGTATCATCTATTATAAAGTCAGAAAAGGATGGCCAGACCTGGTGGCTCAGGCTTTTAATCTTAGCACTCAGGAGGCACGGGCAGGTGGATCTCTACGAGTTCAATTGGGCCTGGTCTATACAAGTTCCAGGCTAGCCTGAGCTATAAAGAGAGACCCTATCTCAAAGCAACAACAAAGAAGTGATGGTTTGTAGTTGGTTGTTTTTTTAGTCTTTGGTTCTTTGATCTTTGGGGGGGCCAGCCACTCAGCTACCAAGTAAATACACACAGAGAGGCTTATTCTTACTTATAAATGTCCGGCCTTAGCTTGGCTTTTTTATAGCCATCTTTTCGTAAATTATCCTACCTATCTTTTGCCTCTGGGATTTTACCTTTATCTATTTCTGTATACCTTTCTTTACTTCTTACTCCATATCTTGTTGTTTAGCTGGGTGGCTGGCCCCTGGAGTCTTCCTCCTTTTCTTCCTCCTAGATCTTTTCTTTTCAGATCTTTCCTCCTATTTATTCTCTCCGCCTGCCTGCCCTACCTATCCTTTCTCCTGCCTTGCTATTGATCAGTCAGCTGTTTATTAGACCAATCAGTTGTTTTAGACAGGCAAAGTAACACAGCTTCACGGAGCTAAACAGATGCAACATGAAAGAATGCAACACATTTTTGCATCATTAAAACAAATGTTCCACAGCATAAACAAATATAACAGATCTAAAATAACATTCCACAACAATAGTTCTTATATAATTATATGTTATATGATAACCATGTTATGGATCTAAACGCATTTTGGTATATGTACTAAGAATTGCATTAACATTGTATTAACATGCATAATGTGAGATTAAAGAAGTGTACAAAACCATATATAGTATTATATTGTAAATAAAATGACATTTAGTTTAATAGTATTCTATAAATTGCAGTTATTTTATATAGGCAACATGAGGCTTAAAATTGTCTTTAAAATACAAATGACATGGTTAGAAATTCTAGAAAGTTGAATTCTTATCTTTAATTGTTTCACATGATAGGCCTCCTCCTCAAATTTTTATATGAAAGAAATATTCTCTGAACTTAATTTGGCTCCTTTCACACCAATTTTCTTTTCAAAGATATGACCCATTTATTATTTGTTCTAAAATATATGGTTGCCTTGGTATCTATTCGATTATAGGCCTTTTATAACTGCTGATGAGAAATTTTACAGATAATTCAAGGAAAAGAAAGTGATCTGAAATCTGCCTTCGATTTCAGTATATAGAGGAAGGACCCCGGAAGTGCTGGTCAAGAATGCAGGCTGACTAATGCCTTCTGTCTTTCTTCTTCCACTGTGTCGGCTCCTCTGTCACCTCTCCACAAATAAATAGCAATTTGTGACATGCCTGGGATGCATTTCCTAATTCAACACACTTTTTTTCTATCTGTGATAAAATAATATAAAATATTTTACTGTGAGGACTAGATAAGTGTGAAGCTCATTTTGCTTGGATTTGCACTCATTTGACTTTGGACACATTAATTTTTTATTTACATTATTTTATTTGGAAATGTTTACAACTATAGAGTGGAAGTAAACTTCAGAGATAATGGATGCCATCAGTTCATTATAAAAGGGAGGCATGGAAATTATTCAGATGATGAAATAATTCAGAATGTCAATGGAGTGGGCAGCTTCATGTGACACCATTTCAGCAATGATTTTAGTCCACATACTTTCCACAAATGTCACCATCTCTAAATGAAAGATAATCTTCATTTTCTCGAATTACTTTGATGCCTCTGTATTCTGGGAGAAGAACTTTCTGTCCAACTTTCACACTAACTGGTGAAATCTCTCTCCCCTTTCCTTCCACGCTTGACCCACAGCTAGTACTGCTGTTTGCAATGCTTTTCCTTTAGACTTTTCTGGAAGTCGCTGCCACCTTTGGTCACAGATTGGACTCCACTCCTTTTACCAACACTCCATCAAAGAGCAGAAGAAATGTCCCGAAGCTTGTCATGCAGTGACTTCACCACGCAGCTGGGACTTAGTCCTCCAGCCACCATTGAACACATTCATTTAATGGCAGGGATGATACAGAGGGAGTCCGAATTGAGATTATAGTAAACTGGGCTTAAGCATCTAGACTGGCATTTCAATCTAGGATTGTTAATGCAATATGGCAGAGTGGGACTTTTCTGAAATTTACTTTTATATTTTTTAAAAAGCAGACTATATCTAAAATAGAAGATTTCTTCAAATTCTGAGGTATATAATGCTCTGATGAATCTTTTTTTTTCTGATAATAAGTACTTAATTCATTAACTACACTAATGTCCTTGGTCAACTTCAAATACAGCTATATTCTTTCTGGTTGTTTATAAGAGCCACCCATGGGTCCCTCATTCAGGATAACCAGTTCCCTTAGTTTAAAAAGGTGGCGCACGCCTTTAATCCCAGCACTCGGGAGGCAGAGCCAGGCGGATCTCTGTGAGTTCGAGGCCAGCCTGGTCTCCAAAGCGAGTTCCAGGAAAGGCGCAAAGCTACACAGAGAAACCCTGTCTCGAAAAACCAAAAAAAGAAAAAAAAAAAAAAAAAAAAGGTCAATTTGAACAAATAAGCAGGAATAAGATGATGGAAAAGCTTGAACACTGGTTATTTTTCTTTAACAAACCCCAGCACAACAAGAACCTAGGACAGCATATTATCGCAGATAATCCCTGGGACCTCAGTGATAACACTACTCTGGAAGCACTGAGACCCTGCCATTTAGCTTCTAGAAATCTGAAACAATACATTTGTTGTTTCTGTTTTAAGCCTCTCAGTTTGTAGCATTTTGCTATAGCAACCCCCAAACAGAGGCATGTTTTAACCTAGGGGTTAAGGTTAAGGGAAGATTCTTTTAAGATTTGTTCATTAACTGTATCATTACAGGCTTACCGGCCTTCTCACCTATTCTGCTATTTGGGTTAGTACCAAGACCTGCATATTTTCTTTCAGTTAAAAGGCACCTGACACCTGGTTAAGATTTGAATTTTCCACTTATCAGTTGTATAATCAACCTCATGGCACTTCAGTTTCTGGAAAACATTTGATATAACAAACAAAACTATGAACTTATTAACAAAATCAAATGAGATAATAACTGAAGAATGATCATTGATGGTGACAAAGACTTCTAACATAGATAAAAAAAATTAATTGTACAGGTGCCAGGCTGGATGAGTTCATTTCAACCCTCCTCTGCTACGTAAATGCATAGATGTATAGATGAGTTCATCTCTACTCTCCTTTACCATCTCTGCTACATAAATGCAGACTTAATTCCATCACCTTAGAATTACTATAGTTCTTATACATTACAGTTTCTATAAATACATCTCTTACCCATGGAGAGTACTTAAATGATGTGAAATCACTACAAAGAAATACATGAGCAAAACTACTCTCTAAAAATAAGTTCATGTAGTGCACAATTTTAGATATTGCAAATGCAGAAGTATGGAACATCAGTGGTGAGGGTACTCTTTTGTATGTGGCCCCTCATTGTGGATTTCAAGAGATTCATGCCTGTGATACTTAGCAATCACCTCTTCAAATAAAAAGCCAGGGAAGCAACTGAGGCCCAATAATCCCTACATGGACGTATCTCCAACTGACATAGGATTTAAAAAACAAATGATACTTTCACAGTTATCCAGTTTCCCACAACTTACCCAGGAACTATATGGCTGCAAGACAGATTGTCTCAGTGCTGTGCTTAAGTTATAGTCTTCGGAACTGTGGTGCACTTGGTGTGCAGCCCAAATAATGTTAATCTCTGCAAAACACGTGATTTCAAACAAAGAATGAGAATAAGAAAAGAGCAGCTTCTAAGAGCAGATGAAAAGCCTGGAACATCTCAGAAAAGGCTAGCCAACAGAATGAGAATTAAAATGCGCTTTCTTGAAACATTTTTGGAACCATACCGTATACAAATAATAAATAAATAGAAAATGAAGCATGACCAGTAAATGCACACATGGTATGTGACACAAATATATACCACCAATGGAATGAGATGACTTCCGAAATTTATGCTTTGCTAACACTTACAGTATCACAGATTTTAAAAACTAACGTATGGTGTTGTAACAATGTACTCAATGGAACGTGAAGAGTTTTCAGTATGTGATAACACATTCCTATTTAAAGACAAGTTTGGAAGAAATTGGTATATAATGAAATATTACACCGTATTATTTCCTGATGGCTTTTGAGATGTCTCAAAAGCTGTCTGTTGGAATAAGCAAACCATAAAAATATTTGATGCTGATCTTTAAGATTATACTTTTATTCACACACTAGTCATTGTTTATGGTTCTTCTCATAGCTTGCCAAGATGTCTACCACGTCACATGACATTCATGTGCCCTCAAAATAGAGAAGAAAATCAAGACTGTTTATTACATCAATAACTGCCAAGATCATCCTCACAAGGCCTGCTGTCCTTTCAAGCAGGGAGTGTTTTCAGCATTCATTGCCAATAAGTACTTAGATCGTGATTGGTTATTATTTTAGTCATTTAATCACTTCTAATAAACACACTGTACCCAAACAATTCAGGAATTATTTTATATGAATGAGCAGTAATTCATCATGAGGTCCTTTAAAACTACACAGACACAGTATTTGAAACCATTTGAAATGGTTAGGGCCCAAACTTCTGGCTTATTTATTACATACATAGCTACATGTAAGAGATTTGCAAGGACTGTTTCTTTGTATCTTCCGATGTTGTGTGGGCTTTAAGTTGCAATAAATGTGACAAATGTCCTAAGTTTTGGAAAACGTTTACCAACTGAGCCCTTGAAATAATCTAAACACCATTTTCTCCTTCGAAAATTCAATATCAAGCATTTTAGAGCCTGGTACTTACAATAAGCCTTGATTAAAAATAAACATGTCTTTTTTGACATACCAATATTTGATTCCAAATATTGACTTTAACACACCCAAACTACGGGTTGAGAGAGGGGTAAGGGAGTCTAGCTCTGCATCCTCATAATCTCCACAGAAGTAATTGTGGAACAAAGAGTCCATGAAGGTGGAGGTTAAAGACCTGTGTCTGTGGTTGTTTTGAAAGCGTTTGCTTCCCATCACAAACCGTGTAACAGGAGCCCAAGATCAATGAGGCCCAGCTGCATAAACAGCATGCAGTAACAAGATCCCACTGACTCACCTATGTCCCTTTCCAGGAATGGAAAAGAGTCAGGAAAATTGGATTTTTTTTTTTTGCACAGTCTATAGTCAGATTTTTGGAACTAAATTATTTTCAAGCATGGTTAGAAAAATGTATTTTACAGAAAATAATTGCAATAGTTCTTATGGGAATGGAATAAGAAAATATTAATAGTTAATATTTTGTTTACCTTCCTTAAAGCTTGAATTGGTAAATTGCTTGCTCTAATAAATGAAAGCAAATATTAAGGAGAAAAATTATTATTTAGAAAAGTGTTTTTATATGGAAAGATTTAATAAAATTATATATTCTGTTCAATAGTAATATTTTTCTTTTCCTATAGTCAAATTGTAGACTTTATGCTCACATAACATTTTATTAGACCTTTGCAATGGCATAATTAGAAATAATTATGCTTATTTACAGTGCCAAAATGTACATTTGTATGAATATATTTTTAAATATGTAGTCAAAAAATTCTAACCATTTAGCTGAATTCTAATATAATATGTATGCTTTATTATTGCGTTTGTTAATTTTAAACATTTTTAATAAATTCATAAGTTTCAGAGCATGCATGGATGGCTCAGTGGTTAAGAGCACTTGCTACTATTTCAGAGGACACAGGTTCCTTTCTCATTACCCACACTGGGAGGCTTACAACTGCTTCTAACTCCAGTTTCTGAGGATCCAATGTCCTATTCTGGCCTCTCGGACTACCTGCTTACACATGGAACAGCACACACACACACACACACACACACACACACACACACACACACACACACACACAAATCAATCAATCAATCAATCAATCAATCAATTAACAAATCTTTATAAAATGTATGCATTCCATTAAAACCCCTTGTTTCTAATATTCAATGCTTGGTGATCAAGTGCAGCTATGTAATTACTATTGATACAGGAAAATTTTGTCATTCTGTATTTTTCCCATCCATCTCTACCTCTATGGTTGATACAGACACAATCTAAAACGGTTCTTGACTTACATTATGAAATTAAGGACTTTGATAGCGTGATGGAGTAGACCTTTTGGGACCCTGAGAGAGAAGCATTTGTGCTTGTGCAGCATGTGAGTCTCTCCTGCCCACCAAGCGCAAGGCTCTGGTGATTCCTGTCCCCTTGTGGTCATGCCTTTGGTAATCCTGCCTTTTAAATCAGCAGGGTTAAGTGACTCCCTTCTAGGAAATAGGATGTTGGCAAAGATGATGGATGTGATGTCACTTTGGTAATTAAAAGGAGTAGCCGTGTCTGAAGTACTTTCTTGTATTCTCACATTGCCAGCTGCCATCATGGGACCTCTCCTTTACTGAGCTCCATCTGAAGGGTGATTGGGAGAAATGCTTGACTAACGAGACATCAAGTGCTAAGCTTGTTAGTATAAACACCAGGAACCCAGCCAGCAATCGTGCAAGTGAATTTGGATAGAATCTTATGTAGTCGTGACCCTGGATGCCCTACAGCCTGCCTGCAATCAGTTGAACAGCTTAGCAGCAAATAAACCTTAGGAGCTTGGGCTGGTGGGGTTCATGTAAGACACAGGCTGATTTCTGTCTCTCTGAAATCATCTGACAATGGTGTTCTTACTTTAAGCTGCTGACTGGTTATACAGCAGTATGTAATTATGGCAGCCAGTGACTCACCAACACCCTCAGTTCATGCCACCTTGCAATATGCTTCCTGTCCTTTGAGTCTTTCCGCTTCAAGGATGTCAAATAAGTAGAACCCAACAGTACTCAAGTTATGAAGTTTGGCTTTTTTCATTCAACATCAAAGAAGAGACTGTCCCCCTTTCTCTGTTTATAATTATTTGGTCTTTATATTGATGAGTTACATTCCTAAATAAGACTGTTCATTGTTTTATTTTGTTTATGTTTATTTTCCATTTGAAGTGCTTATCAGTTATTTTCAGTGTGTGTGTTTATTTTCAAATGTTTTATTTGCATATATTCACTTTACACATTAATGCGCTTCGTTATGATATTTTAATGCACAAATATAATGTGTTTTGATTATATGTGGCCATTACTCTCTGGGTACTTCTCCTAGAACTTCTAATGATCCCCTTTCCCTTTCTTACTGGTCCCCATTCTATTTTCATGTCAGAATGTGTGTGTGTGTGTGTGTGTGTGTGTGTGTGTGTGTGTGTGTAAAGTTAGTGAAAGAGCATCCTGTGTAGCATGGCAGTAGGCAGGCAGTCAGGTAGGCAAAACTGTTTCTTGGGCAGTTAATAGAGAACTTACATCTTATCTGCAAGTTGGAGGCAGAGAGAGAAAGAGACTGGGTCTGGCATAAAGCCAACTCCTGGTGATACACCTCTTCCAAAATAGCAAACTCCCTAATCCTTCCCAAAACAGTTTTACCAACTAATAACCAAGATTTCAAGTATATGAACCTATGGCAGCCATTCTCATTCAAACCACCATAACATGCTAACAATATTTCAGGAACATTTAGTCTATTGTGCAGTAAGGATCAAGGAAGACCCATGTATGCAGTAGGGTACATTCCCCAACTAGAATCTTGGACTGTAGAAGTGGAGAGTGTGAACTGAGCACTAGCATGCATGTATTAATCTACTTCTCTGTGTTCTTGATGTAGGTGTAATATGAACTCTTCTCTCTAGCTTCTGCCATAGTGACTTCCCTGACAGGAGGGATTTGGAATTACAACCCAAATAAACATGTCTCCTTTGAATTGTTTCAGGCAGGATACTTTATTGTAGCAATAGGAAATGAGACTAAGACAAGTAGCATAGAACAGGTTGCGTTTAAAGAGAAGAAATATTTCCACCTATAGTCATTTAATTGATGAATTCACTCTATTGTTTGATTGTGTGTGTGTGTGTGTGTGTGTGTGTGTGTGCAAGACAGAGAGAGAGAGAGAGATAGAGATAGAGAGTTCTCTATATATATGTTCTCTAGGTGTGGTATATATGTGTATATGTGTTGTATACATTGTATTATATGTATATATGTGTGTTGTTATGAATGTGTATATAAATATGTGTAGGTGGAGGTCAGAGGTTGATACCAGGTATCTTTTCTCAGCACAGAAACCCAATGTATTGTCTATGGGAGCCCTGGCTATATGAATCTTTCAAAATTTTTCATAAAATGATAAATATAAAAAGATGCAAGATGCAATTTGTAGATCTTTTTTAGCAATCAAGCATTTACTGATAATAAGTTGTAAGGAAATATAATTTAAACATTTCCACAAAAAGAAAAAAAGTGCAACATTTATCAACATTTATTATTGAGTTATTGAAAAAAATACCAAATATCTAAACGATATTGATAACAATGTTATTAGTAATTACAGTATTCATTTGTGTTATACATGAAAAAGCTGTGTTTTTCACATTTCAGGGTTTTAAGCCAGGGGTGATGTAGCACATGCGTAGTCTAGGCACCTGGGAAGTGGAAGCAGCATTCCAGAGCAAGTCAACATTCATAAAAAGGTAAAGGTGGGTCTGGATATTGTGAAATGCAGTATCAACAAACAAATGAAGAAAGAAACAAATTAAAACAAAACAGAGCAAAAAAATGAAATTTTATGCTGAAAGTACTTGATAA